AGACTGGCTCACACTGTTCTGTAATCCTTCCAAGTGGCACAGAAAATGTACAGGTAAAAAAGGCCATCAGGGTAACATTGAATAGTGTGAGTTCTTTGAGGCACTGGATTCTCCTTCACTGTGTCTATTTTTGTTACAATCCAGCCAGATCATAGTGTTTCATTAGATTCCCTCAGCAATGTAATCTATTCAAATATAGTCATTAAGGTTAAAGAAAAGCAGGGAATAGGGATCAAATATTGCCTTGATACTTTGGATTTTGAGACATTAATAACACTTAAGTGAAGAAAGCCCTGTGCCACCACTTCCTCAGTCCGAAGCATATGATACATCTGTAATCACTACATGAGCCATTTTGCATTTGAAGCCTTACACTTACACCAAACGTATGGTCTTAGCAATAATCTAACAGAGCAAAATAGTCATATCATATTAGCTCTCTCCCAACTATATACATAAAATTATTCTTCTGACTTTGTCTCCACAAACGTCAGATATGAATTCTTTAGGATATTATAAGTAGCCCATATGTAAAGTGAGCAGTGTTTTTTTAAAATTATATACCTACTTGCCTAAGGACCAACTACCTGCCTACTTAGCTACCTACATGTCTGTCTATCTATCTACCTACTTATCTATCTATTTATCTATGTCAGTTCCCAACACAACACCCCCTTTTCTACTGTGACTAGTGTGCCTATACACATAGTAAAATACATGGTAGAATTCTGAGATGGTGGATTAATGCTGAACCTTTGGGTCATAATAAGGGACTGAGATGTCTCCTTTAAAAAGACGTGTGAAAGTGTTGCTGCTTTAACAACTATAGCTGTGCCTTGGTGGCTACAGAAGAAAGTACTGCCATTTAGTCCCTATTGCCTAAATATCACCACCACCACCCCTTTTGAATTTTTAAAAAGGCCATTGTGGTTGACTTTTTGGCTTGCACTGCCTATCAAGGACTTCACTTAAAATAAAAAAACTAGTGATGTGTACCATTTTAGACAAATACATAAATATGCATAGCATCAGGCATTCATACATTTCTGAGGTTATTTTAATTTGCTGTGCTGATGGATAAGCAGCTCTCAACTAATGGTTGTTGTGGGTTTTTCGGGCTCTTTGGCCGTGTTCTGAAGGTTGTTCTTCCTTGCTCTAACAGGGAAACTGGGGGGTGGGGGTGGGGGTGGCTTTGGGAACCACTATTTTCTTCTAAAAGTGAGATTTCTCTGCACCTTTGTCCGCCCTAAAAATCTCACAGGAAATCTTACTAGATTTCTCTGATGTTTCACATCATTTTTTTCCAGGTGGCATGATGGAATTTTATTATTTCTGCACAGAATGGCATCTTTCCTGTTAGGGATTCACAGGGAAGGACTAAAAAAGCACTTCACTGGACAGGCCTGTTAGCTCCCCTGGCAGAATGGCATTTTCCTCTCACAGGCTTCACTTGAAATGATATTAAGCAGCACAGAATTTGACAGTTTCCTGTGCAAAAATGGGTGAAAAAAACACAAGATGGAGGGCTTTTTCATAGGACTGTGGGGACTCTTGTTGATGCAAGGGGATGTCACAGTGGAGAGTCTTGGTATGGTGGGATTTGGGAAAATTGTCAAGAACAAGATTTCTGGGAATACTCACACATCCCTAGAAGAAGACAGAAATGAGGGAGAGTATGAGGGTATAATTCCAGGTGTTGTGAACACATTGTCCCTTTCAGAAGGAATCAAAGAGGGCCATGCCCACTGCACTTATAAATTCCCTCATTCCCTTCCTTTCCTGTGGCTGCCTTAGGAAACTACTCTGCTCATTGGCAAGATTGAGGTTTTCACCTGCCAGTTTAAAAATGGTGGAAAAGTAAAAAGAGGACATGTGTCTATTGACTTCTCCTGTCCTGACCAGAAACTCTTCTGTCTTGCCTGCACCTTAGGGCCTCTCAATATTTCAATGCCTGATGCAGTTCCATCATTAGCGATGACCTGGCTTTGTTGTTGGCATTTCTCTCTTTGCATGATTTTTCCTTGTAATCCAGAAACACACAAATAGTGATTAAGACTTGGACAAGCTGTGAGTCGGAATGTCTCCAAAAGGGCACAGTGAAGGTTGAGCACCAATCTGTTGTGCCATGAACCATGCTGGAGGGGCAAGTGCACATTGCTAGCTAATAGGAAGCTGCCATGTTACCTGAAAGGTCCAAGCCCAGTCGTTTGGCTGTTGCATTAGTTGCCTGTTTTTAATTTAATGGAACATCCAAAAATGTTTTGAGGAGGTGCAGATTATTCTGCTATCTTACCATTCTCTCATTTCATTTTGCTACATGGATAGACCAAGTTTATAAAGAAGAATCCACGCTGGACTATATTGTGATGGGCTTGCTGTAAACAGGTTGAAACTTGAGGGATGGTTTAAGGACACCTGTCTTCTACCCAAGACAAAGAGTGCACTCTTTATTCACTCTGAATTTCCTTAAATGAGGTCACCCAAGGTGCCATACCTTTGGGACAATATGATAGTGGGCACAAAATCTCCAGCAACATAATACTAGGGATCAAAGTTAGTTAGTTAGGCATCCTTCAGTCTCGAAAGACTGTGGTAATGTGCTCTGTATGGAGGACTTGGAACAGTGTCTAGTGTGGCTGAAAAGGCCAATTCGAGAGTGACAATCCTTCCACACTGAAGACAAATCCAATCTGTCAGCTGCCCAGCTCCCTGGTTTTGCTGCTTTTGTGACTTCCTCTTTGCCTTGGCCTGCTGGACAAGGGTCTCTTCAAATTAGGAGAGGCCATGATGCACCACTTGCTTCCAGTCTGAATGCTCAGATGTCAGGGTTTCCCATCTGTTGAGGGCCATTCCTAAGGACTTCAGATCCCGCTTGCAGATCTCCTTGTATCGCAGCTGTGGTCTCCCTCTGGGGCAATTGCCCTGCACTAATTCTCCATACAGATCCTTTGGAATCCGACCATCAGCCACTCTCACGACATGCCCAAGCCAACGTAGACATCGCTGTTTCAGTAATGTATACATGATGAATATTCCAGCTCGTTCTAGGACTACTCTGTTTGGAACTTTGTCCTGCCAGGTGATACCAAAAATCCGTTGGAGGCAACGCATATGGAAGGTGTTCAGCTTCCTCTCCTGCCATGCACAAAGGGTCCAGGACTCACTGCAGTACAGGAGTGTGCTCAGGGATCAAAAGTGGGTACAGAAAAAGCCAAGAAAAAATAAACAAAAAGACAGGTACACAAATAGATATGATTCCTATTTTGATAAAACTCTTTTTCAAAATAAATTTTTAAAAAAAGCTAATTAGGACAACCCACCTTCACCAGCACTGAAAGACTAAGTGAGGTGAAGTAGAAGAAAAGCTAGTCCCAAGCAATGTTCATTAAGAATCATTGATAAAGAGTTTCCTTGAAAACAACTGGGAAGGAATAATGATGGAAACTAATTTCAGCTGGATTCAAAGGTCTCAACAAATGAAGGTGTTTTTTTTTTTGTATCTCCTAAAACTCAGCATGAGGGGAAAAAACTACATTATCTCAAGTATTCACACATTTGCAAAGCTTAATAAAGTGCACCAAAACCACGCACTCATTTTAAAGTGCGGATTGCCAAAACTGAAAAGCAATTATATTGAACCATGTTTTAGATAAATAGTGGTCATGTCCAGAGGGTTCAAGGTCCATTTCTTATCTGAAGATGGACAAAAATCTGAAAAAGGAGAAGAAAAAAGGAGGGAGAAGGAAATTATGGCACAGCCATATCCTTTTTTTTTTTAAAGAGAGAAATTGGTGTGTGTGTTTTTTTGGGGGGGGGAGGGGACTGGCTACAAACTCAGTATTCCTGACAGAAAATGACTTTCTGAGCAAACTTTTTCACCAGGTGAGGATTAGGCGGTTTGGGGTGGGGTTGAAAAGAGCCCTGAGGAGCCACACACGGTTGGGGGGGCATCCTTTGCCCAGCCCTGCTGTACTAAAATGTAGGAAATGTATGAATAAAGTTAAATGCACGAATATTGTAAATGTGCACAAAGGGGAAAATATGCAAAAAAAAAGTGCACGCATTTTAGTGTAGGAAAATAAAAATAAGTCTTGCAACCTGAGATGAAATGTGCAATTGGAAGAAACACAACGAATTGAGACAGATATTTGCATCTTTGGGCCAGAACCATATCTCTTTGTGCAGCTGTCTTATTTCTTGGGGGGGGGGGAAAGGGGGAACGGACTGTTCAATAGTGACACGTCATCAACCCCATTAGTGAGAGAGAATTCATCCCTATGTTCAGAGAATACATGACACTCCCAGCCATTCATAATGTATGTGGATTCCCTCTGTTTATACCCTGCTTATTATTGAAATGTGGCTATTTTATAAAATATAGGAATGTTATTTAGTTGCACTACTATGAAATATCAGCTAGGTTCTAGGAATTATGAAAAATGTTCATTTATATGTATGCAAACCATGCACAAACTTCAAAGTAGAGGCACATATAGTATCATACAAAGAGGTCAAAATTTAAACAGTATATACAAAGTCACAGAGAAATATAGTCAAAAATGCTGTAGACAACATGTTTAAAAGAAATCTACATTATAAAACAATATTAATCCAATTTATCAAATGCTGATAAATTTTCAAATTCAGTGGGGGCAAATACCACACAGAACTGAATTGATTAATGAAATCATCATCATCATCATCATACTTTGTGTTCAGCTATAATACATAGTACAAGAGTCGTCACATTTATTTACAGAATGAAGAAGAAAAAAATAATAGGAATTTAAGACAAATTAATAGCAAAGAAAGCACAGCATGGTAATTTTCTTTGCTTGTGAAAGAAGAGAGAGAGATGCACACATATACAGGCATACAAACAGAAATCAAACAAAACACGCAGAACAATTTACATTAACAGATGACAGACAAACACAGAGGTGAGACAATTTGGCATGTTGCATCACAGGAAGTCATTCACGATTGGCTAACGATGGTACCTGGCTCGGTTGCAGATCACTGGCTTGCCTGAGAGGAGTAACAGAAGGAGGAGGCACACCGGATGTGGATGCAGATCGCCCTAATCGGCAACTTGCTCTCTGTTCTGGAAAGGAAAGGCAATATATTAAATGACAGAATTCTACAATGTCTTTCCTAAGCTGGAAAAACTCTGGTTCTGAACCCAAGTTCAGAAACATCTGTTTTTCTGTTTTAGAACATTTTCTCCCCAAAGTGTGATATCCTTTGTTATAGGTGATTCTGGAATTGGACATGCAAAGACATGTTACATTCCAGAGATAATCCAGAAACACATGTGCTTTTCCTTTTGATATTTTTCTACAACCATACCTTTTTCACCACTTGAGGAAGTATTACTTCTATAAAAGCATTTCTCTCAAGTTATGTCTTTCCTCTTCTACTTAAAGAAATAATTCATTGTCATGTCCACACTCCTAATTATACTTAATTACATATATTTTGCTGGACTTCGCCTCCTGGAATCCCTTGATGTTTCATGAGCAGGAACCATAGAATCAGTCTCTGCTATCAACCTTCCACTTTTTGTTGGAGGTTTTCTTATAACTATCTGTGGGAAAATTATCAAGGACATAACAAGGTTAAAGTGGTTGCCCCACCATAGGATGTTGGGCTCCATTTTCACTTGGTTCCAGTCAGCCTGGTCAGTGGTGAAGAAAAGTAATGGAAATTAATCCAGTGGTTCTCAGCCTGGATTAAGCCTGTGGTTCTCAGCCTTTGGTTGTTCATCTCTTTTAGACTTTGTCATCCAGAAGTCCTTGGTAGCATAGCCGATGGTCAGGAATTCTGGGACCTGAAGCCTCAAATATACAGGAATACTGGGAGGAACTGTTGATGGGTGGTAAAACATATGTTTCACATGCAGGAGGTCCTGGATTTAATCCTCAGCATCCCCAAGGCTGGAAAAAACTCCTACCTGCAATATGCACAGCCTCTGCTAATCAGTATATACAATACTGGGCAGTGTGGATCAATGGTCTAATCCAGGGTAACATAGTTTTTTATGTTCTGAAAGACTGATCTAGAGGCAATACAGCATTTTCATCACAGCTTAGAAAACCACCACCTCACAATAGAAATGTAAGGCCTAGAGATGGGCATGAATTAGTTCAGACCAGGGGGAAGAAATTCATTGGGGTGGCACCAGATGTTCCCTCCCCAAACTCCCTGGTTGGCTGTCCCACTTACAAGCCTCCATGTGCCATCTTCCTTCGCTGGCTGCCCAGTCTAAGAAGGCGCTCAGGCTTCCCTTTCCCATCTCCTCTGACAGCTGGCCACTCTGACAAGGAAGCAGGATGGGGATTTTCCCTGTGCAGCCATTGAGTGGTGGGCTGCCAGGAGAGTCAGGGAAGGAAAGCCTGAGCTTCTTCTCCGAACTGGGCAGCTAAGGAAGGAGAACAACCTGGTTGGCATGCAGAGGCTTGTGAGTGGGCCAGCCAGCTGGGGAGTAGGGGGGGAACATGTGGCACCTGTGGTGTGGTGCCAATGGATTTCATCCCCCCAGGCTGAATTAATTCATGCCCATCTCTAGGCCTCATGCTGACTGAATAGCTTCTGAGACTGTGGCACACACAATCATACCCACTAATATTAAAACTTAATTCAGATGAAGGTTGGTATTCAACATTCATTGTCACTCAGTTCACAATGGAAGAAAACTTAAGACAGTAAATGATTCCCCTATTTTCTATATTTTGTGATGCATATCTCTCTCTCTCCCACCCCCTTCTGTTTTGTAAATACTAATCTGAACTGACTCAGGGGTTTGCCTCTTGATGGCTACTCCACATCCAGTTGTGTCTGGATGTGGTAGCTGTGGGTACTGTTGTAGGCCACATGCTCTCCTTGAAATTGTTGAGGTGAAAAAACAAGGCTTTGTTTACCCCAAACCTCTGATTTGTTTTTCCTCCTTTCAAGGGAAATGTCGGCGCTTTCAGTTGGGCATATGCACTATCGTGAAAGATGATTGCATCTTTGCCAGCAAAATCCCTTTCATCTGGCATCAAAGAAATAAAAGTCATCATACTCAGAGGTGGTGTTTGCTCTTCTTTCCCTCTTTTGGAGTGTCTTTCCAATATTATCTGCCTGTTGAAATACTGGGTTTTCTAGCTCAAGATGTTTCTCATTAATGCCCCAGTATCCTTCTGTTCTTTCAAGAATTAAGTACTTAAATATTTATCCTGAAGCAACAAATAACAGTGAAGTGTAAGTAGGGCATCATGTGTTGTTGTTTTCTTGCTCCACTCCAAAACAAAGACATTTCACTGAAAGAAAACTCTGGAGGGAGCTGCTAAGATACCATGGAAAATCTATTCCAAAGGCACGCAGATCCCAGTAACCTAATGCCCAAGTTGGCACTTGCCATCCTTGCACTGCAACTCCTACAAAAATCATCCAACTCATGCCGAGCAAAGCTGGTATTGCAAGTTGTTTTCCTAGACACAAGAGCAGAACCCTGTTGACATGCCAGCAGAGGGAGGAAGCGGTTCTGAAAATCCTCAGTGCTGTTTTTGTTTTTGTTGTTGTTGTTGTTCTCTCATGGGCAAAACTAATCTCAGAACAGATGGCTATTTTGTTCCAATGGGATGTCTCCATTTGTCAAAGCATCCTTTTCCATCAAAGCAGAGAAAATATGGAAGTCTTCATTGCATCATTAGAGGTTTGGGCTATACAAATTAGCTTGGTCCCAGCTGATAGCCCAGAATTGTAACTGGAAGATCCACTCTTGTCTTGAATGAAGGGGCATGAAAGTATGAAGGAAGATCATCTATTCATTTTCACGAATAGGGCCTTGGACTAAGAGTTTCTAACAAATTTGCACAGTCTTTAGAAGCAGGCCTAAGTCTTAATGCAGAAAAATAGCATTCTGCAAGTGGGTTTTTTGGGCTCTTTGGCTGTGTTCTGAAGGTTGTTCTTCTTGACATTTCGCCAGTCTCTGTGTCCGGCATCTTCAGAGGACTGGAGTTGGAACTCTGTCCATACTCTGTTGCTGTTTGTTGGATAGTTGAATATTTATAGCTGTGGGAACAGCTTTTGTCCTTTTCAGGAGATAGGGTGATCAGTGTGTTTTTGTTGTGAATGTATTGTTGTGATAAGTGGGAGAGATTATCTGTCACTGTGGTTGATGGGTGTCTTTAGCTGGTCTCTTTAACTTGTGCAAAGTTTTACATATTTTGTGCTACTAGACTGGACTGGGCAAACTATATCCCTCTAGATGTTATTGAGCCACAGGTTCCCTCATTCTCCTCTATTGGTTATGCTGGGTAGGGCTTTTAGGAGTTACAGTGCAACCACATCAGAAGGGTCCTGCTTTGCTCACCTCTGCTATAGGTAGGTCAAGAACCTTCAATAGAGAGGAATGACATTAGCACTGAGAAAAACTGGACCAGCTCTAGGATTGAAATAGGCTTGGGCAAATTAACCCAGCCCTAGTTCCCTCTCTGTTTGCCTGGGGCTTATCTCACAACAGGAGGTACTAGCACTCTGAGCAGTATACATGATGTAACTGGTAGCTGAATCCAGCTGGTCCTGAAATTTCCCACAATGCTGTGCAAGAGGGCTGCATCGGAGCATTGTGGGAAATGAAAATCCGAGGGTAGGTTCAACCACATACCTCTGCTCAGAATTCAGGGATGGATTTTTTTAAAATGTTGGCAGTAGCTCTAGGATACCACAAGCTGAAATCAGCTCTCCACAAAAAGAAATGCGGAATGCGTTCAGATTCAAGTTCCAGTCCAAAAGTTTATCTCTATCTCTGGTGTAGGAGCAATGTAATTGCACAAGCTGACATGACCAAATAGTAAATTTCTAGTGTATTGTATCATATACCTCTGGACAGACTCTCTGTATAGGGGACCAAAGACAAATGTTAAACTGCTAACAAATGAGGGAAGGAAATTAATGTAAAGCATTTTCTCTTGGCGTGAAAAATAGAGAATTTCCTAGACCTGTTGAAATGACTTAAGCCAATGTTTCCAGCATCTTTTTCTTGTTAGCATTTGTACCTTAATAACGGAGATGAAACTTAAGGATCATTCCTCTGTGAGCCTAAAAACATTTAATAAATATGCAACTTTTTTTCTGCCCAGCTGCTAAATTGTCTGGAAAACTGTAAAGTCTGTGGAGTTATGAAAGTAACAATGGAATCATAGAGAAGCAGTCAGACGTGTAAAGTGCATTAAAATGCGGTGTGATGCATCTGTTTCTGCAGTAGGTGGCAATACAAAACATCTTTTACTAGCAGCTTACTGGGAAAATGCTGTTTAAAACACCCAGAGAGTGAAGTTCAATGAAGCCTCCCCCCCCCCCCC